TCAACGTTCCATCCACCTAGGCGAATTTGTACCATATCATATATCAGTTGACTGTCTCCAGAGAATCGAAAGCTTGGTTGACCTGGGCGGGAGCTGGTCCGTGATTTAACCGCGCTAGCGTTAAGCGCACCACTTACCACTACTGCGCATCCTAGACCCGGATATTTTTGGAAATTAAGTAACCTGTTGTCTTCCTTCCTCGAAAAAGCACTATTTATGTTCTATTCGTTGAAGTTTAGATTGACAATCAGCTTTTGAATTCTGATAAATGGCAAGTCCTCTACTGTCAACCGGAAGTTCTCATGCCAGATGACGATTCTCACTCTCCATGGGCGAATGGTGATCTTCCACCTGGCGTGAGTGTTTTTTGCCGCTTTCACCGGCTTGACTATTCTGCTTTTGTGCCTTATACGTGTGCAGAGTTGATTTTACTACTTCCTAATAAACGGTGTACCATAGGGGTCTTTATTTTGCAGGTATCTGGAACTGCAAGGCCAGCATTGAAGTTGGAAATGAACTGCACACCGATGAAGCACTACGATGCCTTTGATGTATGTTTTTGGTTTACTGTAGTAGAGTGGTTGTTTGTTTCTTGTACCGTATCACTTGTTGTCGTGCAATGCGGTAACTTGTGGATCAGAAGACGGGCGCAGTTCAGCAACGGGGATCATTTTGCACTTTCGCTTCCGGTTGACAAGTCTCACTCTGGTGAAGACTATGTGAAGCTGGAGTAAGCTCGTCAAGCGGGGAGGCGGACAAGAGAATCGTAATCTGCCGCTTCGTCGCACGCGGCGACAGGCGCGACGTCTTCTTAATTTGCACTAGCCTTCCGACTGGAGCAGCGTAGTTTATGTAGACTAGGATATCGCAGGCAAAATAGATGTTTTTAGGTCAAACATTGTCTATTCTCGACCAATATGACCTAGAATCGTCGTCATTGGCGAGCGCGACGTCGCACGCGACGCCCACTGGCGCGACGAATTACGATTCCCTTGTCACATGCCCCGTCAAGCCATCACGGTAAAATCTGGTAAATCGTGTAGAGGCCGTCTAGATGGGTCGACTGGTCGAAGGAAAGTAGTATCCAGGTATATAGCAGGTATCCAGAAATTGCTGTAAGGATTTAATGATTAGATACACTTAGCAGAATCTGGTGCGTAGAGCACACGTACAAGCTACTGCTTCTGACTAAGTGGATCTGTTTCAGTGCTTCCGCGTGAAGCTATGCGATTTGGACGTGCAGTTGGACGAGCTACTTCTGTGGAAACTGGTACAATTCGCACAGGCCTCAGAAGCAGCCTCTAGCGTTCAGCAACGGACACTAAGTTTGCCGCCCAATACAGAGTACGTCAGTTCGTAGAAAAACTTTGTGAGATATGAAAGGCGATATTTCAACTCCGTACTTCAGCTCCAAATTATAATGATTCCACTTGGCATCCCCCGTCCCGCGTAGGGTTGGACGAAAGTTGTTAAAGTATTTTGAGAATTGGATTCAGCAACAGGGCACGTCTTGCCGAGGAGGGGAAAAATTTTTGCAAAATACGGTACACCTCTGAATTTCCTCTCTGGTACAACCCCGACCCCCTTCCCAATCCTGCTACCGTCTTCATAATATCTCCCAACTATCTGCCAGCTTTGCCAAAGAAAACCCAGCAAACTACCGCTCGTTCTGTTCATCACCCACATCGCCGCAGGTGTAAGAGGTCCGTCGAAGATTTAATCGAGGGGTGTGGAGGTACATTTCATTTTGGGTTTTTTCCCGTCTCTCCCAGTTTTTCATCCGCAGGTTACGTG